GAGTGCAAGGAAGCCCCGCGAAGGCCCTCCCTGGCCCCAGGCAGGCAGGGGTGGGGAGAGGCAGGGAGGAAGCAACTTACCCTCCCTCTTCTCCTGCCTCCTCCTGGCTGAATGAGGGCCGGAAGCAGGGGGCGGGGCTTCGTCATGTGCCCCACCCCCTTACCTCACCCGGGGGAACTGCGATCCCCCTCGATCCCCCCCGAAATGACCTCTGGACTTAACGGTACTTAATATATACACTCTAAGGCAGCGGTGTCAAGCATAAGGCCCGGGGGCCAGAACTGGCCCACCCGGGGCTGTTATGCAGCCTGTGAGCAGCTGATGCAAGGGAGGGAAGAGGAGGCTGCTTGGAGGTGGGTGGGCAGATCCACTCCAACTGTGGCTTCAGCACGGCGGGATACCCTCGTCTGCAGTAGTCAAGCAGAACCCCTTCACTTCAGGGGCTGGTAAGTTGGGAGCAGTGCTCCCTCTAAGCTGTGGAGCCTTTTGAACAAAAATTCTACTTTGTGAGCTGCTGGCATTAAAATTGTGAGCGAGCGATTTGGCTGCTGCATAAATTAGTTTGCTCTGGAGCCATCCTCCCTGAGCTAAGACAAAAATGTGTGAGCTGGTGGCTAAAAAAATGGTGAGCTAGCACAGACTAACTCAGCTTAGAGGGAACACTGTTTGGGAGCCACTGCAGCTGCATTCATACCTCTCCACTCAGCCTGCAGCTCCGGAGGTGCTGTCCTGTATGGCCGCAGGGATCAGCGTTTGCACCTGGGGGAGAGGGGGTATAGAGATTCCTCTTCTGGAGCATGGGAACATATGCCCAGTGTTGCACTGCTGGCTCTCCAATCCACTCATGTGGGTTTTCCTCTGCACCCCCCCTCCCAGCCCAGGGGGCCTTGCAGTGAGGACACACCAACTCAGAGCTTATCAGTGGCTGCCCTTTATAAAGTTTATATCTCTGGTACTCGGCATTACGTTTTATGGCACACATAGTCCGGCCCAACAGTGACATTTATGCCAGAACGCATTAAGAAATGAGTTCAACACCTCTGCTCTCAGGTGCCACTGGACTCGAATCTGCATGTATGAAAGATCACTTGGGATCCACATGTCAACTGCCCTGAGCTCCATGAAAGAGACAAAGGATAAAAAAAGTGACAAGGTGGAGAACCGACCTCAGTCCAGTTGCTTACTGTCCAGTCGGACGGGCACAGGATGTCTCTGTTGCACGAAAGGTGGGTCTTGGGCTTTAGCAGATGATGGCAATCCTCTGCAGGCAACGCCTGCTCATCAAGCCCCATGGTCTGAATGCACAGGACCGTTCGCTTCTTCTCTCCCGTTGGGCCGCAGTCGGTTGAGCACTTCTGCCATTCCCCGGCCCACCACCTATTACGCCAGACAAAGGAATGTCAAAAATGGTGTGTGTGCTTCATCCAAGGCACGGCTGCTGTACCTTTCCCCATCAAACAGTGGGGATGTTGTGTTTTCCCCTGTGTCCGTATGATCCATGGGCACTCCCCATTGGGAACTCAATTCCCAAGCGCATAGGGCTGGACTAGGATCAGAACCATGGCATATGAGTAGAAAGGGGCTTCAGCCTCCCCCCTGCACTGTTTCCCCAAACTGAAATGGCCTGGTATTTCCTCAGTTGGGGGCTCAGGTGTACTGATGGGTATGTGAAGGTTATCCCAGTGGGGAAAGAAGTGGCTACTCTGAAGCCATTACAGGAAGAAAGGCATAGGCAGTCTTTCTGTGTACACCACAATACCCATCCAGATCAGGCTCAGCCAGAACTCCATGCGCATGTGATAGTGCACGAACTCAAGAAGTTCCAGGGAAAATGAAGCACATTGTTAGGCCCTGAACTATGTGAAACTCCATGTAAGTACGCTCATGACAACAGACAGAAACAGAACACCTTGTTACTATCTGTCATTATACAGCACTTTTAGTTTTGCAAACTGCTTCCCATATTTTCTTGTGATAGATGAAGATGGGTAGCTGTGTTTGTGTAGCAGTAGAAAAGAGTAAGATTCCAGTAGCACCTTAAAGACGAACAAAATGTGTGGTAGGGTATGAACCTTCATGAGTCACTGCTCACTTCTTTAGATACATATCTGAAGAAATAAGCAGTGACTCACAAAAGCTCATACCCTACCACAAATGTTGTTAAGTCTTTAAGGTGCTACTGGACTCTTACAGATTTCATTATGTTCACCTGCACAACCAATTGCTGGAGGCACATCAAATTCATTACACAGACAGTGTCAGCTACGCTGCCATGAAGGTTGGGGAGGTTGGTCTGTGTCTGGTTAATTGCTACTGCATTCCTTTCTGTGATTTCTCTGCTGTGCGCTGAAACGCTTATTTATACAGATGTGCAGGAGGGTGTTGTAGTGTCTGGGACTTCCCTAGGTGCTGTGGGAGAGTGTTCGTTCTCAGCTTCAGCTACCTAACGGTCTCTAAGCCTTAGTCCGCGCGCGGGAGGTTGCCTAATTGGCCAGTACTGAAGTGGTACCTATTTAAAGGTTCCCTTGCTTGAAAGCCAGTCGAATCCGACTCTAGGGTCGTGGTGCTCATCTCCGTTTCAAAGCCGAAGAGCCAATGCTGTCCAAAGATGTTTCCGTGGTCATGTGGCCGGCATGACTAAACACCAAGGCGCACGGAACGCTGTTACCTTCCCACGGAAGAGGTACCTATTTATCTACTTGCAATTTCTTGCTTTCGAACTGCTAGGTTGGCAGGAGCTGGAACTAGAGACGGGAGCTCACTCGGTCACGTGGCACACTCAGGTCTTGAACTGCTGAACGACCGACCTTCCACAGCCTGCAGTTCAGCGTCTTAACCACTTGAGCCACCGCAGCTCCTTGTTGCTGTAGGGACTGAACGGCAAAAAAGCTGCAGGCCTCCCTGAGCTTCCGACTTCACACCAGGGATGGAAATAAAGGGCCTATACTCTCAAACACACACACACACACACCTGGCCCTAACTTCTTTGCAGCCTCCGTATTCTCAGCTCAGTACTTGACCCTTTCAGAGACACCCTGACCCTGGGATAGCAGCACACAAGGTTGGCAGGAGCTAGGGTTGCCAAGTCTTCTTGCCTTGGCAGCGGGGGAGCCTTGCCGGGCTCCGGGAGCTTCTCGGTGGTGCGTGCGCACCACCAACACGTCACAAGAAGTGACGTGCTACGCAGCCACGCTGAGCTTTGGGGGGCGGAGTTCCCCCCGGGGCCCGATTCCGCGGTGGCGGAAATCGGGCCCCCAAAGCGGGGGTAGAAGAAGAGGAAGAGGAAGAAGAAGAAGAAGAAGAGGAAGAAGAGGAGGAAGAGGAGGAAGAGGAGGAGGAGGAGGAAGAGGAGGAGGAGGAGGAGGAGATTGGATTTATACCCCGCCCTTCACTTGGAGTCTCAGAGCGGCTTACAAACTCCTTTCCCTTCCCCTCCCCACAACAGACACCCTGTGAGGTGGGTGGGGCTGAGAGAGCTCTGACACAAACTGCTCTTTTTCAAGGACAGCTGTGCCAGAGCTTGTGACTGACCCAAGGTCACATCAGCAGGTGCAAGTGGAGGAGTGGGGAATCAAACCCGGTTCACTCCAGCTGCACAAGGGCTCAGGGTCAGCACAGGGGCTCTGGGTGTCCTAGGCCAGCTGGGCTAGACATCTCCCCTCCGGTGCTGGGGCCAGCGGGTGCCCTGGGGCTCCCCATTTTTGGTGTCTCCTAGACAATTGCCTAGGGCTGCCTAGTGGGGTGGGCCACCCCTGCAAGGGTTGGCTAAGATCCAACAGTAGTGGGGAGAGACAACTTTACGTCTGTGGTAGTATGCTGGTACTTAAAAAGGGCATAGTTTTATATTTAATATCAATATCTTATATGCGTGCATTTGATGCAAGGACACAAAGGATGTATGGTAGTCACGTGGTTCTTTAGGCTGATGGCAACTGTGAATGAAACTTTCTGCAAGCCACAGAGGAAGTACCATATATTTCATATATTGAGACTGATACATTGATTTGAAGGTAATAATAGATTCTAGAGAACTGCTCTAGACCAAGGTTTTTATGAATAGGCGATCCCTCCACACACACCTGGTTCTATGGCAATATAAAAACATACAACTATCATATCTTGAAAGTAAAGGTAAATGTTTCCCTTGCTCGAAAGCTAGTAGAATTCGACTCTAGGGTGCGGTGCTCATCTCCGTTTCAAAGCCGAAGAGCCAGCACTGTCCAAAGACTTCTCCATGGTCATGGCCAGCATGACTAGACACCAAGGCGCACGGAATGCAGTTACCTTCCCACTGAAGTGGTACCTATTTATCTACTTGCAATTTCTTGCTTTCGAACTGCTAGGTTGGCAGGAGCTGGGACCAGAGACGGGAGCTCACTCCGTCATGCGACACTAGAGTCTCGAACTGCTGAACTACCGACCTTCCGGTCTGCAGTTCAGCGTCTTAACCACTGAGCCACCGCAGACCCTTATCATATCTTGTACCTATGCCTAAATAACTGGAAGAAAGTCCCCCAAACTAAAACAACACAATTCAACCTTCCAAAACTTTTATATTAAAGTGGGTTGTTCCTCTGGGGTAATAGATTCAGTTCTGAATGACAGTTTGCAGTGGGAAACGAAATGTGGTCCTTTGCATCCTCGTTTAATTACTGTAGTTTACACCTTTGACATTTTCTACGAAGTCTGCATAATCCTACTCCATATATTAACTCTGAGCCGGTAAGCCCTTTAATCCACAGCGACTGAGCGTCTGCTTTTGGCAATTACCTGCCCAAGGGATATTACTGGATTGCTGGAAAACAGGGACTGTACTGCCTTCAGTCCTGCATCTTAATATTTTGTCTATTAGTCCAACAGCAAATAGACCAACTCGTGGGAAATTATATAATGTATTGATCTCCCTGGTAAAAAACATTGCTAAATATCAGTGCTCCGGCAAGGGGCAGGGGCCCCTTCATAATAAATTGATAAACAGAGAGGATATCATTTTGGATTACATTTTCCACCCAGCAAACTCTCCTCAATTCGTCGTATCTTTTCATGTTTTGTTTGTCACTAGGGCTGCCAGTCTCCAGGTGGGGCCTGCGGATCTCCCACTTTTACAGCTGATCCCCAGCCGACAGAGATCAGCTTCCCTGGAGAAAATGGCAGATTTGAAGGGTGGGCTCTATGGCATTGTGCCGTGCTGAGGCCCCTCCCCTCCCCAAACCCTCCCCTCTCCCGGATCCACCTCCAAAATCTCCAGGTATTTTCCAACCCAGACTTGGCAACCCTATTTGGCACACAGGTAGAGCTTTTAAAATTCTTTGCTACTTGCCAGCATCCTGGGAACAATCCACCCGATGCCACTATACACAAACTCCATTCATTTTAAGGGGTGCCTGTAGAATGTAATCAGAGGTCATTTCGGGGGGATTGCAGTTCCCCCGGGTGAGGTACGGGGGCGGGACACATGACGAAGCCCCGCCCCCTGCTTCCGGCCGCCCCACTTCTGGCCCTCATTCAGCTAGGAGGAGGCAGGAGAAGAGGGAGGGTAAGTTGGGGCTCGGCAGTGGAGCTGCAAGGCTGGCGGCGGCGGCCAGGACCGTTGGGGGTGGGGTGTGTGGCCTTATGACACACTTCCAGTGATGTCAGGGGGTGTGGCCTTATGACACACTTCCGGTGATGTCAGGGGGTGTGGCATATGCTAATGAGTTATGCTAATATGCCCCCCTAGCTCTTTTTCTACGAAACGACCCCTGAATGTAATACAACATAAACTTTCCTAGAATAAATGGAGGATATATGTTTGGGTAGCCTAATGACTATATATATATATTTTTTTTTAAAAAAAGTTGATTGTTTTCTCTTTAAATAATTTTTTTTAAATGCCAGAAGTTACTAGTCTGTGATTTCTTTATTAGCTTGCCCGACCCCAGGCAGTAAAGTTAATAATGAATTTCTTTTAAAATTGTAACAAAAAACTGACTTGCAGCAGGTGACTAGGCTAGTGGCTATTTGATTTCTGATGTTTTTTAAATATGGCTTTATTTGTACATTTGTGCTGGAAAAGCAGTTTTAAAATATGATTTTTTAAAAGTACAATTTTTACCTCCATGGTGATGGTTGTATGGATTTAAAATTGGAACTGGAAAGGGTCTTGGATTTCTTGTGGATTGTATTTCGGTTGCAGAACAATAGAATTACTTAGCAAATTTGGGATTTTGTTTTGAATTCTGAACTCAACAGTGCTATATATTTTCAATTTTAAAAGTATGTGAAGAAAAATTCATCAACATGTTTATGAACATCCTAAATAAACTCTAAAACATTGGCGGGGCTTTCCTTTGTAGAAGCCATGCTGATTCTTCTTCAGCAAGGCTTCTTCTTCTGTACTGGAATATGGGTGGTGCTGGTACAGATAAAGCTGATATAGACATTTAAAAGCAGGCTTGTCAGGTTTCTTTAAAACAAATTAAATCCTCCATCTGCTCTCCTGAACACATGAAGCTGGCTTATACCAAATCAGACCTCTGGTCCATCAAAGTCAATATTGTCTGGCAGTGGCTCTCCAAGGTCTCAGGCAGAGAGCTTTCACATCACCAGGTGCCAGCTGGAGATGCCGGGGATTGAATTTGGGACCTTCCGCATGCAAAGCAAATGCTCTGCCACTGAGCCACCGTATAGAAGAATTGCTTTCTGCTTTCTATATCCACATGCCTTCTCCTGTGATTACATTATGATAACATGCTGTGTCTTATTTCCTGTTGCAAGCCAAATGGTGAGGCCACATGGCCTCAATAGCCATGCCATAAACCCACATTCTTTCACACCTTCATGTCAAAAGCCAGACCTCATGGCTCCACTTCCTGGCCCACATGTGACAAGTCACATACACAATGAAGTAGCTGGAGTTTGGGGTCACATGACTGCAGGCGGGGTCTCCAAACTCCTAGCCAATCTATACACACACCTTATGTGCAGCTATGGCAACCTGAAATTGGCCACACACCCCTGCTGCTCGTGATTGGCCGAATGGCCACGGCTAATCATGATCAGATTGGGGTATAATTGTTTGATCCCTATGGAAGTGAGCTCTTCTTGTTCTCGAGTCTCTTGTTCTCTTAGCTCTGAGGCTCTTGCTGCCTTTTTTATTGCTCCTGAAATGCTGTCTCTTGGATAACAAATGCCTGCTTGGTGACTTGGACTATTCTGGACTGTTGGATGTTCCTGAATTGGTAACTATGGTCCCTGCCACACGGGACGGCTGAAACGCGGCTAATCAGAGCCGCACCAAACTTGAGACGCCGCGGCGGGATCCCACGGATCCCCTCAGCCGCGGCGCATTGCTCCCCGGCACGATCAGATGCCGGGGAGCAAGATTCCGATGGGAGGGGGAGGCTGCCGAACTGCGCATGCTCGAGCATGCGCAGTACAACTGGGGGCCGAGATGCGGTGGCGCAAGGACGCGCCTGCCGATCCCACGGCCTGGCTTGAGGCGCTCCAAGGGATACAACCACCTAGGTAGGTGGTGCTTTTTTGCTGCGCGGTATCGATGTTTGGGACGGAACAGGGACGGGCAGGCAACGATTCCCAGATGTTGCCGTGGGATCGCGCCCGTTTGCTCTGCCCCCGTTCCGTCCCCCTCCCGGCCTAAAACGCCTCGTATGAACAGGGCCTATGTATCTTTAATGTGTAGTTAAGGCAAAGAGCCATAGGTTTTTCTTGTTTTTAGTAATCTCTTATAGTCTGTTGCTATGCTTTGCTCTTATATTAAATAGGCAATTTGTCACTTAATCAGATTATATGGAAATTTGCACTGAGTTACAAACATCTCACTACATATACTTTAAAAAAAAATCATGTACATGAGTTTAATCACATCACCCGATTGAGATGTTGTTTTAAGCAGCAGTTAAAGCAAAGCAAGGAGGGCAATAAAATGGCAGATTCCTTGAACAGATGTTCAATATTTACTCTATAAAATCAACAGCATCATAAAACCCATCACTGAAAAATGTACGTTAAGGCCAGTTAGGGATGAATACTCTCATCCAGAGAAACCAAGTACGGGCTCTAAGACTCCAGCTGCACCATCCCTTAGCACTGTTAAATGTTTACTGCTAGACCCTGGTGACCACCGAGCCTATAATAACACACACACTGTAGAAGAAGAAGAAGAGATTGGAGTTATACCCCACCCTTCACTACCCGAAGGAGTCTCAGAGCGGTTTACAGTCTCCTTTCCCTTCCCCTCCCTACAACGGACACCCTGTGAGGTAGGTGGGGTTGAGAGAGCTCTTTCAAGGACTGCTCTTGAGAGAACAGCTCTGAAAAAACTTGTGAATGACCCAAGGTCACACCAGCAGCTGCATGCGAAGGAGGCGGAATTAAACCCGGTTCTCCCAGATTAGAGTCCGCGCTCCTAACCACTACACCAAACTGGCTATCTTGAAGTATGTTTGAAGTGACAGGGTTTGGCACATGACATTTCCTTCACAAGAACAGCTAGCTAAAAGCAGGGGAGATACTTTCGGCTATGCTCCTGCAGAGTGCAGGGGGTTGGACTAGATGACCTGCAAGGTCCCTTTCAATTCTAACATTCTATGATTCTATACATAAGTACATTTAAAACATCTGTCCTCAGCTCCACAGCTGGCATTTTGTATGGTTGCAAATGATATTTTGAGCCTTTGAGCCAGGTATCTGTTACTAGAAATATATCCATAAAAATGGTAGGAGTTTGCCACAGCAATCAGTTTGGTAGTTTATTTTTGAAACATGCAAATAGGGATGAGAGTAGAAGGAAATAATTGGTTTGGGAGCTGGTGACTTTACAAGTGCCCCTCACTATGCACTGACAGGTCCTTTTGCTTACAGTTGTGGGGGCCTTTCGGCACCTGTCAAATAGATGATCACAGGTTTCTCAAACATAATTGATTGCTTTCCCCTTAGTTTTTGGACTACTGGGGAAGTGGTTCAGGAATATGTTAAACAAACTGACTGACATTCCCTTGTGGGCAGACATCTGGGGCATGAAGACTAAAAATAAGTGTCACTTTGTATTATGGCTTTGCAGACTCTTTAAAATGCTTCATGCTTATTATCTCAGTAACCCTATGACCACTGATGCTAGGCCATATTACAGATGGCGTTTGCCTTCGAGGACTGAATACCTAACGAATCTGTGGCTGAATTAAAATTTGGACGGGGGATGCTGACTGACCAGCCATTCTCTGAACTCTGACTCTTCAACCCCATTTCACATTATTATTAATACAATTAAAAATTATCATCATCCAAGAGTACCTTCCCTTAAATGACATATTTGCTACCTTGGGGGACAGTCCTCTTCAATGCATTTCTTTTGCCTTCCATTGGGTTGAGTGTCTGGATCACAAAATAAGCTTTTCACCACACCTTTCCCCTTTTTCACACAGCGGACAATCTGTCGTTGGAAGCCTGGAAGAGAAGTTATATTTAGTATTCAGAGGCAAGGCAGCAATATGGGCAGAGGAGCAGATGAAGCGTCAGTCCCTCCCTATTCATGGGGTCTTCCCCTTCGTTACTTCTTCAGGACACAGGAGAAGCCGCACCAGGGCTTCATCTTATGAGATGCCTCTTCCTTGCCTGACACCAAAGGCCTAAGATCACATGAGACAGAGGGAAACCAAACCGCTTGTGGATTGCCTGCCCCCACGATACATTATGTCATGGGATGGTTCCACATTGGAGCCATTCTCTGCAATCAAGTCGTTGCTATCCTCACATTAGCTGTATGAGGAATTACAACAAATGATTAAGGTTGCCAGTCGCCAGGTTCCAGCAAAGGGTCCCCCTGGTTCTTCTGCCCGCCGCCAGCCACCTGGCTGATGGGTGAAACCCCACCCCCAAACAGCCACACCTCCAGGTGACATCCCTGATAATGACATCACCCAGAAGTGATGTCATAGTGTCAGTGACATTACGGGGGACGCTCTGGTTCGAGGGCAAAACTCTATGGTTAATTTGCCCTCAAACCACAGAGTTCTACCCTCAAACCAGAGCGTCACCAACACGATGACATCACTTCTGGGTGATGTCATCACATCAGGGTGTCACACGACGTCCCTGCCCCCTCCAGGAATGCTCCCCAAATCCCCCCACCAGTGATTAGGTAGGACCTGGCAGCCCTACAAATGATCCATATGCATCGGTGGGTGTTGCACTTCGACACAATGAACCTCCTGGACATTCCCATCTACACAGGGAGTTCGGCTCTATTGCAAAAATAAATCCACTATTCCCCCTTATTGATGATGGGAGAAGTATATACCATAAGATCATGTTCCTGGTATCATGATGTAATAGCACTAATCAGCACAACCTGGGGGGGGGGAGAGAAGATTTCTGGAGCCTTTTTTTCAGTTTGTGGTGATTAGTGCTATTACATCATGACACCAAGAATATGACCTTATGGTAGAAACAGAAATGGTGCCAAGTCACAATAGTATACATTTGCCAATTTTAGCATTTTTTTTTTTAAAAAATGGCAACCTCAGTATGCAATTTTGGGGGGTTCAGGGCCAGCCCACGGTCTTTTGGTGCTCCAGCAACTGACTGCTTCCCCCAGTGCAGGAAGGCTGCCCCTGGTAGGTGTCCCTCTGCCCCATGGGCAATGGTGACACCCAGGGCTGCTGCACCTGACCGCAGACAGGCCCTGAACAAGAAAGACAGGCTGGATGGATGCATTGGTGGGGTGGCTTCAGGGGTGGACTGGGAGGGGGAAATGTTGGCTTCAGAAGTGGACTGGGAGGGCGGCTTCAGGGGTGGACTGGGAGGGAGAAATGGCGGCTTCAGGGGTGGGAGGGAGAAATGATGGCTTCAGAAGTGGACTGGGAGGGGGAAATGGCGGCTTCAGGGGTGGACTGGGAGGGAGAAATGGCCCTGGAAAGGGCCAAACCTGCCCAGCTTGCCCCTGGACCCACCACACCTGCAGGAGAGATGGAGGGAGCCAGCCTGCCATGCACACCCCCAAGGGTGTGAGCAGGTAAGCCAACCAGCCCACTGAGCCAACCTGCCGTGTGTAGTTTAGCTGGGTGTCGGCCCTGCCTCCCCACAAGCCAGGCCCCCCCCCGGGTGAGTCATGCTGCCATGCAGGGCTTAGCTGTGGGTGGCTGGAAAGAGAGAGGGGCAGAGGGAGGGCAAACCAGCCTTCTGGGGTCATCCCATGGGCCACTGGGTAAAACAGGATGCTGGACTAGATGGATCATTGGTCTGAGCTAGCAGTGCTGTTCTTGTGTTTAGGACCAATCAACCTGGAAGGGGGGGGGGAGGTTTGCCTGCTAATACGCAAAGGTGAATTCTATTGTCATTATGAGGGGGAGGCTAACATTCCCCCCCCCCCGCCCCAACACACCTCAGGGGGCTTTGGAGCGGCACTGAAATTACAAACAATCCCATCAAGGAATTCTCACATCTCTTTTCTAGCTGTGCCTTCAGCTGTACCACAGTCATAAAAAAACCTGAGCCATGCTCAACTTGCTCTGAGGAACCAAGAAAGGAACTAATTGTTTATCCATTAATTTAACCAAAATCACAAGGCAGGATTCTTTTTAATCAGCTGGCCAGCCTAACGTATCATCAAGCAATTTCCTGCAGGGGAGTGAAGTAATTACCCTCATGAAACGATTCTAAATGGAGCAGAAGCGCAGCAGGTCTTTTCACATTATTGACTGAAAAGAAGCTTTGCAAATCTGAATTCAAACGTTCAGTGCGAGAAATACCCATCATCACAGCTAAGGCCCCAAAACTTGCTAGAGCATTTGAAATTTATTTGGGGGGAGTTTGTAACACGATTTGTTTGGAAATGTTATACGCCACCTCTCCAGAGAACCTGAGCAGGCAGAAATTTAACAGGTGCAACCTTCCCTTGACCAAGCCAGGAAGGAGACTGCATTTGTGGAATTCCTGCCACAAGGCTGTGTTCACTTATGACAAATCATTATAATAAACGGACCTTGGGAAATGAGGAATTGTTGTTATAGCTGAAGGTCCTGGCCAGAAAAAGGGGTGAACCAAAAGCAATGCTTACTCCCTTTTAGAGAAGCTCTTCGCCCTGTTTTGTTGTTTTTAAAGTTAATCTGACAAATAGTTCCATATCTTCAAGATGGAATAAGAACATAAGAGAAGCCAGTGTTGGATCAGGCCAATGATCCATCCAGTCCAACACTCTGTCCCACAGTGGCCAAAAATACCAGGGGCCATCAGGAGGTCCAGCAGTGGGGCCAGGACACCAGAAGCCCTCCCACTGGGATCCTGGGCTGTATTCTACCACTCCACTCATGTGCACATGGGCTCATCCTCTACCTAAACTCCATGCTTAGTTGAGTGGAGTGCAAGGGTGCCAGGTATCTGGTAATGACCCAGACAGTCTGGTATTTGACCTGGACAGTATCTGATACTGACACGGGCAGTCCGGTACTGATTGTCTGGAGGAAAAATCTGGAACAAATACCAGACATTTAAGTATCCAGTATTTTTCCAGTTTCCCCCCAAATAGTCAGTGAAAATTCTGGACTGTCCAAGTCAACTGGCAACCTTACTGACCCCCAAGAGTGCAAGACATGGTATTCGGCCTTGGAGAAGTTGGCACTGAGTTCAAGAATGAAGTAGCAGCTGCCGGAGAGCCAGCATGGTTAAGAGCGGCAGATTCTAATCTGGAGAATTGGGCTTGATTCCCCACTTCTCCACAGGAAGCCAGCTGGATGATCATGGGCCAGACACAGTTCCCTCAGAACTCTCTCAGCCCCACCTACCTCACAAGGTGCCTCTTGTGGGGGGAGGAAGGGAAGGCGATTGTAAGACTCCTTATGACAGAGAAATGTGGGGTATAAAACCCAGCTCTTCTTCGTCTACTGCTGCTTCTTTTGCGCTTGGGCTGGGTGCTCCTCCCGGTGCAAACAGAATGTTTCATGCTGTTTGCACTGGGAGGAGCCAGGACTGAGTGTTGGTGTGACTGGTATTAAAAAAACACCAATCTGGCAACCCTAGTGGAGTGGTAGGATACAGCACAATAATACCAAGAGAAGGTTTTCTACAATGATTTTTTAAAGTACAGCCTTTTTATCTTTTAAAAGCATGGGAAAACATTGTTGATAACTACTACATAGCATGAGCTGATGCAAAATGTTCACTTCTTTAAATCAAGGTGGGGGAACCCCACCACACAATTTTGTGGTAGGAACCCCCCCCCCATTGTTTTATATTAGGTTTAACTGACTGATGATTAGTAGTTTTTCAAGGCCATTCTCAACACGCTGTTTAACAGGGTGTTTTATCCAAGGGCCTGGGGATTAAGCCAGGTGATAATAAGAGCCATTTTTCTACACTTGAATCCATTTGTTCCTCAGTTCGCAGGCTGTTAGGATAATGACTGGTGAGGCCAAAGCAGCTGGGAGTGAGAGATCCACGGCCCGGGCACCACCTCTTACCCTTCCCACACGTAACACTGCAACCTGTCCAGCTGCTGTATTGCCAAAAATATTCTGGCTCCTCCACTTCATTCTCAGAGTTCCAGTCTTTACCGACAGTGTATTCGTATTTTATTCCAGGGTTATTCTCCTGAAAAAGGAGCTGCAAAAACAAGAAACGTGATTTGTTTCGATCTTGTGAACTCATGACAGAGAGCTGGCACCAAACAGACATATAAACAAGAAAGCTTGATTTTGGTACATTCAAAAGAAGCCAGGGTAAATTTGGCTTTTGTTGAAATCCATCACAATTGATAATACAAAGCTGTGGAGATTTGATTGGGCCTGTACTGGAAGGCATTGTTCCTGTCATTGACAGTGTCCTCTATACCTCATTCATGTCCATTTGCATTACAAGACTTGTTCTTACAGAGGGTCAACCCAGACACCAAACCAGATGCTGACAGCTTAATGAATGGAGCTCCCATTCAATTATCAGAAACGTGGTCTCCACTGAGAGCAGGCAGAAAGAGAGGTTCAAGGTCCCACCATGCCATTTTCCTAACTAAAACCGTCCCAGGGGGCAGCTCCGTGTTCTGTTCAGATGTTAACAAGCAGGGGTCATTTGGGGGGGGGACGCGGGGGGACGCCATCCCCCCGGGTGAGGTGCGGGAGGACGGGGCCTGGAGCTCCCTGCTGGTGCCCGCTGGAGGTCGCCGCCGGCTGTGGGGAGGACACACTTCCGGTGATGTCAGGGGGTGTGGCATATGCTAATGAGTTATGCTAATGAGTCCCCCTAGCTCTTTTTCTACGAAATGACCCCTGTTAACAAGAGATCATATGACTGAATCCCTTCCCCACTGAAAAACCAATTAAGAAGAAGGGCCCCAGCCTAGCCATCTTCCTGGTTCCGGTTTCCTATTGGGAGGGGGATTTTCTTGTAGACAGAGAAGCAATCAATTGCACACGCTCCCACCTGATGTAGTACAGTATGGACACATCAGTATGGCCATATCTACCGCCTCAGTGAGAACTAAAGGCTAGCAGTGGCCATGACTGCAGAGAGAACCGCAAGTGTGAAGATGTTGCAAGGTTAAGGTCGCCAGTTCTGAAGGATAAGCTGTCGGGGGACTTACTGGGATACTCTGGGAGAGGGCAGGGAAGAAGCACTCCGTGCCTACGTCACCTCCAGGTGTAGGGTTGCCAGCCTCCAGGTGGGGCCTGGGGATCTCCAGTTTTTACAACTGATCTCCAGCTGACTGGGATCAGTTTCCATGGAGAAAAATGGCTGCTTTGAAGGGTGGACTCTATGGCATTGTACTATGCTGAGGCCCCTCCCTTCCCCAAGCCCCGCCTTCTCCTGGCTCCACCCCCAAAGTCACCAGGTATTTCCAACCCAGACTTGGCAACCCTATCCAGGTGATATAGGCATGTTGGGGATGTCGGGGGGCAACACTCTGGTTTTGGGGCAAAGCTCTACCGTTTGAAGCTAATTCTAACAGAGTTTTCCCCAAAACCCAGAGTGTCATCCCCTGAAGTCGCCAATGTGCCTATGTAACTTCTGGGTGATGTAGGCACGCCGTGTTATTTCCGGCTTTCCAGAGCACCTGGGGTAGGTGACATTCTCCCTCCCTGCTAAATGACTCCCAATCAAGCCAGTGTTAAAAGTACAGCTATAGAGGCTAGTGTTAGGGTTGCCCAGTTACATATCTATAGTAGGGACTGCCATCTCTGGAATGGGAAATACCTGGAGATTGGGAGTGGGAGTGGAGACTGAGGAAGGTGGAGTTTGGGGAGGAGAGGGACTTCAGTGGGGTCCAGCATCATAAAGTCCACCTTCCGAAGCAGCCATTTTCTCCAGGTGAACGGCTCTCTGTCACTGGAGATCAATTGTAATACCAGATTACGGGATTCCAATTCTATGAGGTCTCGAACCACGACTTGGAGGTTGGCAACCCTAGTAATACATATTCCTGTTGGCTGCCACCTAGTGGCAGAGTAGCAGATAGACTAAGGCCTACTTCCGAGGAAGGTGGGGGGGGGGGGTTAGTTGAGGCCTGATTCCAAGATGGATGCCTGCCTGAGGCCTTTTGTGTTGCAGTTCAAATAAAGCAGATTTATACCGTTGGCCTGCTAGTGTGGACTCCCAACAACCACTAGTGCCAGGTTCTCACACAACCCCTTGCCTTACGCTACCTGCAGCCACAACGATTCATTCGTGGGTCCAGTTGCGGTGAGGTTTTCCAGGTCTCCTTTCCGGTCATACTGAAATGTTGTTCCTGCCACTTTGTAGTCTCCGTTCCACTGGATAATGAACCCTCCATTCAGATAATACTTTTCTGGGTCCTTGCTTCTCAACGCAAGGAAATTTCCTGCCTCTTCCACTTCTACCACTCTGATGTTTCTTGCGCCTTTTGGGATTAGGCCGATATCGACATATCCTATGGAGGTCAGAAAAGCATTTATCAGCTTTAAGGCTAATGTACCTTTTTGTTGTCAAGTCACAGCCGATTTATGGCGACCCGATAGAGTTTTCAAGGCAAGAGATGTTCAGAGGTTGTTTGCCATCGCCTGCTTCTGCGTAGCAACCCTGGTATTCTTTGGTGGTGTCCCATCCAAATACTGACCAGGGCAAACCCTGCTTAGCTTCCAGAATCTAACAAGTTTGGGCTAGCCTTGGCTATCCAGGTCAGGGCAATAACGCACTATGCACAATTGTAAAAGCAGTAAGCGTTAGCCCTGTTCAAGAGGATATGAAGCTGAGAAAGCAAAAGCACTCAATTCATTTGAAGTGTTTATCTGGCAACATCTGCAAATTACTTGAGAGAAAATGCCAGTTTGAAAAGTAGTTTAGTTCCTTTGATTTCAGTGGAGCTCAGGCTAAGAACCAATGATAGTGCTGAGTCGAACCAGCTGGGCGAAGTTTTGCAAACACTTTGCATCCCTTAGAAAGCACTCTCCAGTTATAACGGGGGGGTGCTGCCACACACGCTAAGTAATCCACTTTCAATCCACTTTCAGTGCACTTTCAAAGTGGAGTTTTACTGTGTGAACTGGCAAAATCCACTTTGAAAGTGCACTGAAAGTGGATTGAAAGTGGATTACTTAGCGTGTGTGGCAGCAGCCTAAGAACACCAGAGTACAACTTTAAACATCTTTGTGTATTAGCATTCAGCAATGGACTTTTAAAGTATTTTAAAGCTGCCATTGTTTTTAGGGTCAATTGTTTCACTGCACATCACAGTATGCTTTTAAAAATCATCTTTTACTAAATTATCACATATACTGATTTCAGTAATGGGACTAGGGCTGCCAAGTCCCCCTGGGGGGCAGAAAACCCCCCACCCCAGAAGCCCGTTCCCCGACGCCGGGGAATCGGGCCCCGGGGGGAACCCCGCCCCAGCGTGCACGTCACAGGGAAGTGACGTTATGACGCTGGGCACACTGGGGGTGGGGCCACGGCCATACTAGCCGGCAAGGTAAGTGCCACTTGGCAACCCTAAATGGGACTAAAACAGGATATAACTTCAGGCACACAGAATATTTGAGAGCTAGTCAGAGAAGTAGCTTTTATGGACTAACAGGCAGGGCACAGAAGACAAGGGCTGCCTCAGTGTTGCCTCCTAGCACTGGTATTCAGAGAGTTGGTTACTGTTTCTGAATGTGGAGCTTCCCTTTGGTCACCATAGCTTTTAGCCATTGATGGACATTTCCTCCATTAGCTCTTTAAACTGTAGATACCAGGGACTGGGCTTCTCAGTCCTTCTGCAGACATAGCATGCGTCCTACCATGCGGCCCCATCCTGTCCTTTTGTATCTATTCCAGGAAAAGCTTTCTTTGCTTAATTTCTTGGCATAGATTATTAATGGCATATTATTATTATTATTATTATTATAGACCATTAAAGACATAGATTATTAAAAGAACACAGTTTGAGTCTGGTGCCACCTTTAAGACCAACAGAGTTTTATTCACGGTATAAGCTTCCGTGTGCCTGCACACTTAGTCAGATACAGTGGAACAGAACCCCCTCAACCATTACTTATAGGGGTGGGGGTTGTTATCAGGACAGACCATTTAGAGCAGGGGTGTCGAATTCATTTGTTATGAGGGCCGGATCTGACATAAACGAGACCTTGTTGGGCCGGGCCATGTGTGTCATAAAATGTAATGCCAGGTAGTGAAATATAAACTTTATAAAGGACACAAACACAAGGATTTTTTTAAACTTAAAATAAAAACATGCTTAAAACATTAGCTCTGTAAACTGCAAACCTACTTTTGATTTATTGACATTCACCACAGAAATCTCATGCTCAGAGTTCTGAGTCTAGGACCCAGGTTAAAACATGAAATGGCCGAGTGATTAAGAGAGTCTAGCGAAGCAAGCTATGATGCAGCAGCAGCAGCAGAACTGGAAGCAGAAGATGGTCAGTTCCACTGCGGGCCTGATGGAAGCCCTCCGGGGGCCTGATCCAGCCCCCAGGCTGCATGTTTGATGCCCCTGATTTAGAGTCAAGATGCATAAGTACTGGGTGATTATAGCTGAGACTGGATGTAATAAAGATCTGTGAATGGGACTAAATTAGCATTAACATGTGCCTGTACAGAAGACACAAAGATGAACTAATTTTTTGAAGGGTAATCTTGTATCAGAATAACTATTATCCTTTGTATAATTTAAATATTGAGTATATTGTACTTGTTTTCTCAAAGTATTTTCATACCAAGGATTTTCCTGTACTGGGCACTTTTTTATTCTAGACACATTTCCCTGAATACAGACACATTTCCCCAGAGCAGAGAAGACCAATGGAAGCTGCTTTGGATCCCCATTGGGAAGAAACTGCAGTCTGTATTTTCTGTTCTGCAGTCTGTAAATTCTGTATTTTCAGTTTTGATATTCCACAGTGTGTTACTTGTTTGGGCTCAAACTACATTAATGCAGAAGGCAGATAGGGAAAGGCAAAACATTTGTTTCAATTAAAATTCACAGCACAACACAAACAGATCCTAAATTGGTCTCCTTGAAAATGTAAAATGTCTTTTTACACAACAGTGGTTTTACAAACACACTTACTACTGCACAAGTCAACTTTTAAGGTTTTGTTTGACTTCGCCTTGACAGCTTCATAATAGACTTCTCACTCTCTGGTCTTTGTTCACGTATCTATTTAATATTGGCTAGCGGAAAACAGCTTTTAATTTCCTAAAACATGGCGCTGTTTCCCAGGGCTTATCGTATAGCTTTTGAATAAAAATTTCCAAAGCTAATTAGCTGTAGGGCTTTTACTTCTTCATTCTGTAATAACCTTCAGTTCGAGAGCACTATAGCTGCTTCCAAAGCACCTCCACAAGTGACAAGGTAAATCCCCCAAAGAACCCACACTAGTTTCAAATATTTGTAGCCAAAACAACTGGAACGTTGGCTTTGTTTCACTGTGAATCCATTGCTGATAAATTTAAATACCAAAATAACAAAGCAGAAAGCTGTAAAGAAGCGCTACACACTCCAAGTGAAACAATGTAATTTTAACAACAGTTATAGCATTCATATAATTACAAATAAAGTGCAAAAGAGGTCCATAGTATAATCGTGATGGTTAAGAACATAAGAGATGCCAATGTTGGATCAGGCCAAAGACCAGTCCAACACTCTGTGTCACACAGTGGCCAGAAATACCAGTGCCATCAGGAGGTCCACCAGTGGGGCCAGGACATTAGAAGCCCTCCCACTGTTGACCCCCCCTAGCACCAAGAATACAGTGCATCACTTGCTATACCTTGTGGCTAATAGTCACTGATGGACCTCTGCTCCATATGCTTATCTAATTCCCTTTTGAAGCCGTCCATGCTTGTAGCCGCCACCACTTCCTGTGGCAGTGAATTCCATGTGTGAATCACTCTTTGGGTGAAGAAGTACTTCCTTTTATCCATTCTAACCCGACCGCTCAGCAATTTCATTGAGTGCCCATGAGTTCTTGTATTGTGAGAAAGGGAGAAAACATGCATTTCTTCACACAGGTGAGGAATGCAGGAAATTAACATCTGTAATGAGGTGAGAAACCTATGTCCCTATTCAGCTCTCCCCCACCTGAGGGGTTCATTGTCCAAAACTTGTTAATGAATTTTAGTTCTGCAATATCATATTGTAATCTCCCTTTGAGGCTTCTCTGTAGGGGGCTCGTGCCTCTAGCAAGGTGCTTTCTTAAATACTGGGGAAAAACACTCACCCCTCTAGCAGCTCTGTCTCCCACTCAGAGCTCAGCTGGGTCTGAAATATTTCTTTACTTCCAGGTGAGAAAAGTACCTCTTTCTCTACCTTGTCTATCCCATGCATAATCTTATAAACCTCAATCATGTCACCCCTCAGTCGTCGTTTCTCCAAGCTAAAGAGCCCTAAGCGCCTTAACCTTTCCTCATAGGGAAAGTGTTCCAACCCTTTTATCATTCGAGTTGCCCTTTTCTGCACTTTTTCCAAAGCTATAATATCCTTTTTAAGGTGTGGTGACCAGAATTGCACACGGTATTCCAAATGAGGTCGCACCATTGATTTATATAGGGGCATTATGATATTGGCTGATCTGTTTTCAATACCCTTCCTAATAATCCCCAGCATAGCATAGCATAGTTGTTGACGAAGTTCCCCAGAATTCGTTTTGTGAACATCCAAACGAGGACCATAAATTACAAAAGTTTATCTTTTATCTTTTATCCATCATTGAATGCAAGTATAAGAAAGCATTAGCTCATCCATTGCTTCCCTTTCAATCTGATAGCAGTACAGGAGACAACGGGTGAGATGGCTTTGCACTCCCCACTTGAAGGTAAACAAACTTGTTGTCCAGGATACAAAACAGATCAAAACAGATCAGCCAATATCATAATGCCCCTATATAAATCAATGGTGCGACCTCATTTGGAATACTGTGTGCAGTTCTGGTCACCACACCTTAAAAAGGATATTATAGCTTTGGAAAAAGTGCAGAAAAGGGCAACTCGAATGATAAAAGGGTTGGAACACTTTCCCTATGAGGAAAGGTTAAAGCGCTTAGGGCTCTTTAGCTTGGAGAAACGACGACTGAGGGGTGACATGATTGAGGTTTATAAGATTATGCATAGGATAGAGCAGGTAGAGAAAGAGATACTTTTCTCCCTTTCTCACAATACAAGAACGCGTGGGCACTCCATGAAATTGCTGAGCGGTCGGGTTAGAACGGATAAAAGGAAGTACTTCTTCACCCAACGAGTGATTAACACTTGGAATTCACTGCCACAGGAAGTGGTCTTCGGCCTGATCCAACATTGGCATCTCTTATGTTCTTATGTTCTTAACCTGACAAATGTACTTATTGTCCTGTGACTCAAAGGAAATCGAATGTAAATTGCATGTCTCTTTAACAAAGTGGTGCAACTGATATTGCATTCTGCATTGTTCCA